AATACTCATTTCTTTTATCCTCTTCTCCATAAATTAAGCATTTAGAACAGTTTGTTTCTTCTTTCAGTAAATTTTCTTTTACTTTATCCTCGTTTTTTTCTTTGTTGCGACGACGCTGGGTAAATCATCTGGACACTGGGTCTCACTATCGCCAAATATATTTGGAGATCGGCTTCGGCTACGGCTTGGCAGACATTTTTTTCTTTCTACAATTTTAAATTAAATTTATTAGAATAAATGCTTCGAACACACGCGATCTAAGTACCTTTTGTGTTTATTATACCTTACCTACCTAGGTATAAAAAGAGTACTTACGTAGATTTTCTTTTATTAACTGTTTTATACGAAGATCTTGATCTCTCAAATTAGCATCCATTTTACTTCCAGTGATTATCAACTAAATTAATAATCCACAAAGTATTAAATAACGTTTTTATGAAATATTTAGCACAAAAACAATACCCTTTAAATATCGATCGTCAGTAACTGTGGCTGACTTACCTATATTCTAGCAAGCAGGACTGCCAGATGTGAAGGGGAAATCCCCAATAAATTGTTGCATGTGACTGATGATGTGAGCATGTTCGTTTCATAATAAAAATGTTGCCAGGTAACCAAAAAGTCGTATGTTTTTGTGCGAATTACGATCATAATCTTTACGATCGTACATTAAAAAATAGACAAATAATAGTATGAGTACGATTTAAATCGTATATCTGTCAACCCTGCTAGCAAGACAGCGACAAAATCACGTTGCATAACAATGTAGCCCAAGCTTATATCTTATGAAATATACGGAAGAGATACGGACTTAGAAAAAACAGAAATGTTGTTCTTTGTGGAAGTCATTGATGAAATTCTATGTATTTTAGCCCGCAAACTTTCTTCAAACAAAAACAGCGCCATCTAGTATCGAGTTCTGTAATTATCTCTTTGTTTATGGATTTGAAGTAAGCAATACATTATGACTGGGGATTCCCCTATTCGTCGACGCTGAATATGAGGCGACGACAATCACTGTCAAACGTGTTCACTATTACTCTGACTCTGGTAACGTGACTTCCTGGTAACGTGTTAGGTAGGAAAAGCAGTAAAAAAGTGCATATTAAGGGAGCAGATTTGAAATAATATTTATACTTAACAAGAAATAATTAAAGGTAAGTGGATTTTTGAATGATACAATTATATCATGATCACTTAACAATTTTAACTTAAAATTAGATGTATTATTACAAGCTTTTATTTAGCTTGCGTTATGTAAATAAAAGTATGTAGGTATGTTCGTATGTTGATGCAATTATCCTCAATCCTCAACCGACTGGGATAAAATTTTCCATACACGTTTATTTTGGATGATAGTGCATAGTTAGCTGAGAGTCGTCATTGGATAATAATGGTGGATAGCCTAAGATGTGTACTAGATATTTATTTTTAATATAATATGCGTAAGTACCTAATCGAATTAAAGAAGTTGCTGAGAAAAATACAGAACAATACGATAATAAACTAGCGTCTGCGTTTAATCCTATAACAAGAAATAATCATTGTAAAAAAATAGGCACTCTATTGTTGAATTTTCGTCAGACCAACTAATCATCGTTCATTTTTTTAGGTTCAATGGGGAGACCTAAAGATTTACGCATATGGGAGCACTACCGTACTTTACCAAACAAGTCTGTTTCTTGCAATACAAATTCAGTAATGCTGCCAAAATGCTTCAACATCTTATCACTTGTCCAAAATCTCCAGAAACATTAAAAGACTCTATGAAACTTATAAAAGATAGCTCGTCCAAAACCAAAATGTCTGGACTGTCAGAGATAGAGACAAATGATTCTTTTATAAGCCCCTCGTCGTCTGCTAACACTACAATAAATGCTGAGTTTCAAGACACCGGTGATCATATAAAAACAGAATTAGCGAGAGCTATATTTGTAACAGGGACGCCATTATCGATGGTGCAACATCCTTTATGGATACAATTTTTCGAAAAATTGCAACCAAAATTTAAAATACCTTCACGTAAAGCTTTAGCGACAAAATACTTAGATAAAATATATAGAGAAATGCGTTTTGAGTTAAATGAGGAACTAAATGTACAAGCATTTACTTACAGCAGTTACTTACACCTTCAGTGCGATGGCTGGTCTAATTTAAGAAATGAAGGAATAATAAACTTTCTTATATCAAAACCTCAACCTGCATACGTTAAAAGTTTGAATACAGAAAGTAATCCTCACACTAGTGAATACCTTAGCCAAGAAGTTGAAAAAGTAATGAAAGTGTATGGAGCAAATAAGTTTCTTGTACTTATTGGCGATAACGCTAGAAATATACAAAAGGCATTCGAATTAACAAAACTCAAATATCCACATGTTGTTCCTCTCGGTTGCTGTGCACATATCCTTAACTTGTTGTGCCAAGATATTGTAAAGATACAAGAAGTAACTGTGTTTATTATGCAAGCCATAAATATAATAAAAACTGTTAAAAGGAGTCAACGATTAAGTTCCTTGTTGATAAAATCAAGGCAGGGTGAAGATTCTACACAAACACTAAAATTGCCTTGTGCTACAAGATGGGGAAGTCATGTTACTTCGTTAAAAAGTTTGAAAGCAAATAAGATAGCTTTGCAAATATTAACAGTTAGAGAAGATGTGGTAATTTCAAGAGATATTAAAGATTTAATTCTAAGTGATGATTTCTGGACGAAGACAGGGGAATGTATTTTGGAACCAGTCACTGAAAGCATATTTTACTTAGAGAGCGACCAGAATCGTTTGCATCGCACATACATTACATTTAGAGATGTACAAGCTAAGATACGTTTTGCATTAAATGAGATTTCGACATTGAGCGAAGAAAGCAAACAGCAGATTCTAACATCAGTATCTTCAAGATGCAATATGGCAATGAGGCCAATACATTTTGCAGCATATATTCTAGACCCCAGGACTCTAGGAGTCGAACTTACTCAAGAGGAAGAACTTAAGGGTATGGAGTTTATCTACAATTTAAGCCAACACTTAAGTTTGTCAAATGTAATGGCAGATTTGGCGTGTTATAAAGCTAAAGAAAACTTTTGGGCCAGAGGATTTGTATGGAGCTCATTAGATAGCATTGAGCCCCTAATATGGTGGAAAGGTATTTGTGGTTCCACTGAGTTAAGCAAAGTAGCGATTCGTATTCTATCAGCTCCCTGTACTTCGGCAGCCACTGAGCGTTCCTTTAGTATCCAAGGCTACATACATAATAACAAAAGAAATCGACTTACAACTGAAAGAACTGAAAAAATTTCATTCATTTGTTATAACTGGAATCTTAAACATAAAGCTGAATGCGAGGACATTCAGTTTAATGAAGAAAATACCTTAGAAGCTTTCATTGAGCAAGTAAATGAACATAACAGTTTAGACGAAATAGAGCCTATCGAACCTATACAATTCATCGCTTGTAATAACTCTGAATCTGACAGTGATTGACTGTAGTTTTACATTTTACTTTCATCTCTTTCTTAATAAACTCAAAATCAAATTAAAAGTTTTTTATTCTGTAGGCTGCATAATAATATTGTCTATGTCCAGTATAGTGGACGTCTTGCGGCTGAGATGACGATGATGAAGTACAAAATCATAAACACCCAAAAATTTGGGTGTTTATGGGGTTTAAACCCAATAAACCCAAAACACCCGGTTTTTACCCACCAGACTTTAAACCCACCCAGGTGGATTGCCCATCTCTACGAGCATGTCATTAATTTTCTTTTGTTTTCAATGATTTTCCTTATGCGATTGGACAGACACAAATGTTTATATATTCACCTAGTCACAGCTTATAGCTTTGGCCGCTTTAATTAAATTATATTTCTGTGTATTTGTACAGAGTATGGTCTATCCGTATACTAAATTTTGTTCAAATTTATTCAGCCGTTCAACTCTGTTTGGGTAACAAATGTAAACTGGGGAGAAAGGGATTGATAGTAATGGAAACTGAGAATCCCATTGCTAGTAATATACCCAACCAGGTCGACATCCTCGCGGTTCTCTCTGGAAACTATCATGGTTGATTTCTGATGAATTCATCATGATGGGCTAACTGGCCTGTTTTCATTCTCATCTATCACCCTTCACTGGTGCTCCGCCAGCGTATCCCGTTAGCGCAGGCCGGGTTACCATACCATTTTCACCCATAAAAGAAAAAAATGTAAACTGTCATATGTACTCATATATTATTGTTAGTATTAACCTTTTTGATAATTGTTATTGTAGTGAGTACAGACTGGAAGTCTACCTATTACCATGTTGACTAAGTGGTTTGGTATAATAAGAGTATATATACTTGTGCACCAATTGTATAGTTTTTTATTAATGTCTTCAAACTGTTAATTATTCTACATAAAAAATTAAGAACATGATTTCAAAATAAACCACGCGGACAAAGTTAGCAGAGGGATACAAATTATTGCCTAGGATAAAAATTCCTAACTGAAAAACCAGGATGATCTGTGTGATCTTTGAGCCATTTTACGTAATCTTGAAAGCAAGAGGAGAGAAAGAGGTAAACGGTTACTGTTGAATAAACATTGGTTGATTCAACAATAAACTGTTGTAAATAAATTGTTGGAGATTTAGGATTCCGTATAATTATTATTCCATATAATTATAAGAAATCTTAAATCTCTAAATATAACATATGTTCGTATCTATAATAAGTTAACTACTGTAATCTTTTGGAGGAAACAATAATGAGTATTTATCTTTAAATGTCAATGACAGTTAGTATAATAGTTCGACTAATATAAAGTTTAGAACCATTTCTATTTTTTTGTATCTAAAACCTTTTATACGTTAAATAAATTTTGTTTGACATTAAATCGATTATCAGTTTTAACAAAACTGTTTGACCAAAGTCCGTTGATATTTTCGACCTTTGACTAATTATATATTCATTATAAAAAAATAATAGTAATTACATTCGATATTTAAAAATTGAATACTTACATTTAAAAAATAGAATTCAATCCACTACCACATTCACTCGAAACAATAACTCGGATATCACTCGCAACTCGCAGGCGACACAGTGCGGACACGCGTCGCGGACTCCCGATGTCAACTGACACCCGCATGTCACACTCGGGAGCATTGCAGTGGGTACTGATGGCATAAATCAGAATTGTAAATATTTTTTTTTATTTCTTTTTCGTCAATAGAATACGGGGGTATTTTTTACGTTTCAATTTGATTTTACAGAAAAAAAAATTTAAATGAACTCGTTGTTCTTTTATTTATTTTTCGATTGAATAGAAATCTAATATTGACATTTAATATGGGCATAAATTTAACAGTCCTGAATTATTTTTATTTACTTTCAATAATTATCTAATTAAAAGTATATTTAACTTTCATTAAGTCTAATAGATACTTAATGCTTATTAGCATTAAGTATTATTATTATTTCTCATTAGTAAATGAGATCTGTATAATATTTAAAATAATCTTTACCTTATTTATAAAAGATAAGAAAGAACTATATTATCCTAAATATACTATTTGTATTTTTTTATCAACGTTTTAATTCGCTATCAGCATTTTAAATCATAATTTGTATTTAATTTTTGAAAAAAGAAAAAAAATATATAATTAATAATGTAATAAAAAAGAAATGTCTTTATTATTCTTTATCTATTATTTTATATTAGAATGTCTTTGATAATTTTATAAATTAAAAAATTGTGGCATGCGTCGTTCCTTTTTCAAACTCAAAAACCAAAATTTCTTTAAAAGAACCTTTTCTTAATAGATATATAGTAATTTTAACTGCTATTTCAATCACGTGATCGAGATTAAAGAAAATTTAAAAATCAAGAAATAAATAAAAACTATAAGATAATCATCTCAAATATAAGATGCATGTCAAATTTCATGACGATCAGTTGAGTCATTATGACGCCACGAACAAATAAATGAATCCATTTTCACATTTATAATATTCATAAATATATTTTAAAACAACAAACTTCGTCAAATACAACATAAGTGAACGACCTATTAATTAATTAATTTAATTGCTACATTCATTCACTAACCGTACAATTGACGTGCCTCTATTTATGTATTTATTTCTGTTAAAACTGGCCACAACATGCCTTTGATCATTGTGTTAAAGTTTATCTATTTATGTAAACATAAGACATAATTACGTTCCGTTGTGAACAGCTCTATCCGTATCTAATTATATTAAGTAATCACCAGGGCGTCTTATAAATATTAAATAGATGATTGAACCCGGAGAGATATCTGTTTTTAAAAACTCACAATATATATTTTCTACTGTAGTGATTCGATTCGACTGTATACTTTTTGTGTTTTTATTTATTTATTACACATATAATACACACATTTGATACAGCGAAACATTACGATACATTGCACTAGTGGATTACAGCTAACTGTTCTTACATTTAGAGGCAACCATAGCATGATGTGTTTAAAAATATTAAAATAGAATTAAAATAGAATAAATAACAAGATAGAAATGACAGTTCTTTACGCAATATCTACGCTATGCCAGTTGAAGTGATTTTAATGATTCTTTTTTACTATAAAATCATCATACGATAACTACCAGTACTGAGAACAATTGTAGTCGTAAACAAATTAATTTTTTATTTATTTTATATTTCAGATAAATTATACATACCTACATATTTGATTTTATTGAAGTAGATTGCTTCGCGATCAATTGATATGAATTAACAAAATGGAAACGTTTGTAAATAATATATATATATATATATATATATATATATATATATATATATATATATATATATATATATATATATATATATATATATATATATATATATATATATATATATATATATATATATATATATATATATATATATATTCTTTATTGCACTTGTAAGTTACATATAAAATAATGTATTTATAAATGTTGTGAGCAAGGGTGGAGCAATATAACGGTAGCTAGATATAGAGTAATAATTGAAACATATAATTATTTTAATAATACTACTATACTAATAATACTAATCTGGCAACCCCGGTGAGTGAGTAATAATAATTTAATTAGATAATTAATAATATAATTACACTAATCGTCTGGTACTAGAACTAGGATACTCTGTGTAGCAATTACGAAGCAGTAAACATCTAGAGGTACGACCTAATACACTTAGATCTGAAGCAATTGAAAAACTTTTGAATAAAATTAAAAAAAGGCCCGAATGAGAATTAAACTTCAGATCTCATATAAATAAAGTCTAAATTGCGTCAGGAAAGTCTTATTTAAAACCTCCATTGCATATGGCGTGTTACAAAATAATAGAATTTTAACCCCGTCTACTTTATATGCTCTGTTAGAGCATCAGTAAATGACTGAAGTCAGTTCAGGTGACTCATTGCGATGAATTTATCAACAAATAACTACGATGGGTAGAGAGAAGTTTGATGGAAGAGAACTCTTCCAGCAAACTTCTCTCTTCCAGCAAAAAAAAGAAGAATTAAGCTCGCCTGTTTATCACATCTTTATTTAACATAACTGAACGTTTGTAATTTTTTGTGTACAACAAAGTATAAACAAAAGTAGAAAAGTATGATTTTTAAAAAGAACCGCATGAAAATCGACCTGAAAATTTTCGCTAGCAATGGCGTCCGCCCCCTTTACTAACAGTCCCTTCTCGCGCGTCAAGTTAGTCAATTTATAGTTGTAAAGAGTTTATAATACAACTTTGATAATGCCTTGAGGGTAAAACCAATAAGGATTGGTGATATTTATATGCATACTATCAAGGAATCAAATCAAAACATCTATATTTACTTTTCATATAGGTAATAAGGAAAAACAAAGTTAGTACAAGGTAGATCGTGATACATTTATTAGAGCAAATAAATGTTGATATATATATATTCTTTATTGCACAAAAACATACAGTAAATAAATAAACAAGTAATATTAATTTGTACTCAACAATATTCAGTCATGATGATTGTATATTTATATTTATCTATACAGGCGTTTGAGTTTGCTCCTGTATTATTTTATAATACTAATAATATCCCAAATGATCGACTGTTCATATAATAATTTTGTTATACATTATTTTGTTTTATTTTCGTTAATTATATTCAAGAATTTTACTATATTTTTATATGACTAAAGGTTTGTTACATATTACTCATGTTATGAGAAAAGAATACATTTTTTAATTCGATGTTGATATTTTTTTTTGCTATGAATAGGATGCTCTCTCACATTTATGTGCTATATTACTTTTGTTGGATATGAACCACAGACACAATATTTACTTTGGACTCTAAAATTACTTAAAAATAAGATACCGTTTCAGTTGTCACCTTTCTAAGTATACTTAGGGGTTGAAGTATGATGACAATTTTTAACTTTGCATTCGTATTTTTTTTTTATATATCATTGAAGTGGCAAACAAGCGCATGACTCACCTAATTGTAAATGTTTACAATAGCTTGCAATAACAGAGGTATTACACGAACGTTATTGATCATGAGGAAACCTGTTTATCTTTTTTTTTTTTTGAAGAACCCCCAACTTTTGTCTCGTAAAAAAATCTCGATACTCATGCCGTAAACTGAGTATTCGTGGGAGGAAACGTCTCTGAAACCGCGCTGTACGCGACCATGTAGTACACACAGCTGTACAGTTACGTGGGCACGTAATGTATGTAGAATTAATGATGACGTCACTTATCCTAGCTATATAGGATATAGGATATAGCATATAGGATAAGTGACATCATCACAAATTCAATAAAGATGAATTCCCGGATAACAACTATTTTCCAATAAAAATCCTTTAATGTTCTTAGCCACTTCGCAGTTAGTAGCCACTCGAAGTGTCTTGCCAGTTTCAACACAAAAAAGCCTCTACAGCATTGTCGTCTCCGGAGTTTGGAAAGTTGTTTTAAAAGTCGTGTTCGTCAAACCCCTCAAGGGTATTCACTTTGCGAGGGGAAGCAGGGAATAAATCGCGTTGTCGCTCAACCATCTACTCACTGACACGTTGAGAAATAGACTCGCAGTTAACCAATGATTTTAAGACTCTCGTGACGTTTGCTCTGCAACGTAATTGAATAAGAGGAATGATGGAAATTTGGGCTTTAAATTTTATTCGTGCACTAACAGTGACTCCGATTTTATCTGCGATACGAAATTAGCGCAACGAATATTAAAGCTTATTTAAATTTTGGACTGTCCCTCCTCCTTGGCGAATTGTAAAGAGACGTGAAGGGAAAACAATTACCTGAGATTTACTCATAGAATTTTAAATAACTAATATGATTAAATTTGCATCATTTATTTATTTTTCTTATTGCCAGTGAAATAATAAGAAATTAATATAAAATGTTTCATTAATTATTCAAATCAATCTCTGAATGTCACCTTAAAATTTAATCCTTAATATCTATAATAATAAACGGTAGGAGAACATTATATCGAATAAAATAACTATGGTCAAAGTTCAGCAACTCTACCATGGGCATATGGAATTCTCTGCTTACCCTATTACAGTATTAGTTTTAAAATATATAAACACGTTAGTTTCTATTACAGAAACTTTCAGAATTCTGACACATTATATATTTAGTAGAAGTTTATTGCTTCACATTAATCATCAATCATGAAACATCGTTTCTAACTCACTAATATTATAAATGTAAAAGTTTGTAAATATATTTAGATATTTATAATTTAATCAAGCTTAGTTATATCTTCGCTTATACAAATTTGAACACAGGGATTTGGTACACAGATGGAAAATATTCTAAATATATATATATATATATATATATATATATATATATATATATATATATATATATATATATATATATATATATATACTACTAATATAAATAATATAATAATATAAATAAAAACTAATATAATACTAATATAATTCTCTAGTCAACACAAACATGTTCAGCAGCCTGATTTTCAACACAATCTAGTCGGCTCGTATATGATATAAAATCATGTTAAACTGACGTCAAATGGCCCTAATAGTGACGTACATTTAACGTCATTCCAATGTGATTTCGATTTAATCCGAATTTGCGTTAAAATTCA